GTGTGCCTTGGCAGCTAATGGTTACACAAGCCATAAAAATGTTATGACATCATAAAGTGGCCAAAATCTGATCAGCTCATTTTCAGACAGGTTTTTATATAAATGGATCAGGAGGGTCTTGGTTCCTGAAACTTTCAGAATCTCTTTACACAGAGGGGACACATGGTTATGGATAAAAGACATGAAAAAGTGGATTTTGCACAATAGGTGACCTTTAAGTAACAGTGAAGAAAGGGGGAAACAGAGGGCAGGATACGCGGTAAATGCTCCCATTTTTACTGTTGGAAAAACATGTGATTTATCAAACCTACAGTAACAGCAGGTTTTAGTATTTTGAGGGATAAACAGCAGAACATCCATATTATCTGTTTCTTTACATAAGTGTTTTTAAATGGTCCTTCCACAGTCAATTCCCCTCTTCACAATGGTCCATTAATAATGAAACATCCCCAAAATGTATCAGTTGTATTTGTTCAGGCTTATAACTTATACATGTAAACAAAAAGATAGTGGCCATCGACACCCCCTGCCCCTTCCACCCTGATAGAATCAAGATTGCTTTTACAGCGGGTCGTATTACTGCGGAAGAGATCTGCTCTGGCTTAAAACAACCAGATCATTTGTGTGTGTGTGTGTGTGTGTGTGTGTGAGTGTGTGTGCGTCTGCGTCTGCGTCTGTTAGCTTGTACGAGGGTGTGCATTAGTCGTGCGTTTGTGTGTGTTTGCGTACAGCCTGATAGGTTTAGGGGCCCATAAACCTCTTGGTCAAGTGGGCCTGACCCTGCTGCAGATTATTTTGTTTGACCTCCGACCCCTTACATACTGTGCTTCTCGTGTGTGTATGTCTTTGTTTATAGGCATGCAGGTGTCTTTCCATGACCTTTCAATCCAATATGCTGCAGCTCCGAGCCCTATTTACGCGTGTGTGTGTGTGTGTGTGTGTGTGTGTGTGTGTGTGTGTGTGTGTGTGTGTGTGTGTGTGTGTGTGTGTGTGTGTGTGGTGGATATGTAAGCTCCCAAACATGGATTTGGCACATCGTCTCACTATATTCATGCTCTTTTTGGATAGAGACTTACTTTTGATACCCCTTTTTGCATCTTTGTATCTGCATTCATTATATGCAATGATGTAGCATAACCCTAACCCCAATGTACCACCACTAATACAAGCCTAAATCTCTCTATTAAAATGTAGCAGTCATTTATTTTTCTCTGTGCAAACCCCAAGGATTTGGTACACTCTTCTGTCTTTACTCATGCCCTTTTTTGATTGATTATATCACTATATATGTAGCACTTTAAGTCTGACATACCCCACTAATATGACCCTAAATCCCTCTTACATTATCAGTTATATTATCCAAAAGTAGAATTTGTTTTGTTTCTCTTTCAGTTTTAAGGCTATTTGTAGAAAGCTGTGATAGATAATATGTTAAAATCAGCCTTAAGAAAGTGGATAAAAGCCAATCTGCAAGTTAAAAAAGCCTAACACTCCTTGTATGTTTGTATGTAGTGGGCTTTTAAGAGTAGTCTTTTCTGCAGGTGTGTTTCAGTCTTGTATGTCTGTGTCTATACCCCTTTTGTGAGTCTTTGCCTGGTTGGGGATACGCTCTTGTGTGTACCCTCAGTGTGTATGTTCACTTGAGCATGGCACGAGTGCTCGTATGCCTTCAATACGGCTCGGGAGGGAGGTGTGGTAGTCGTAGGATTAAACATTTTCCATGTTCTGCTCACATGCCTGATCCCTCCCAATAATTCGGCCGGGGTGGGGGGGTAATGGAGAGAGAAAAAAAAAACACTAGACTCATGCTTCGCTTCATCACTTTTGCCGTGTTTCCGTTTGAAGATTTATTTATTAATATTTCTTTTCACGGGGTCCGTCTTTGTCCTCGGTGAGACTTTCCTACTGCCCGAGTCGTATTTTTAGAGTCAAAGGCTCACTTTGTGCTTTTGCTGCTTGATCTGTGTTTCTGGAAGAAAAAAAAAGAAAAGGACTGGAGAAATGGAATGTGAGGTGAGGAGAGGGAGGAAGGGAAAGAGCGAGAGATGAAGAGAGAAAGAAAAGAGAGACAGAGAGAGGGAGGGAGGGGGAAGGGAGAGGCCTGGACTGAAGCGTCATACCAGGGCTGAGAGGAACCAATCGCGCCTCTCCGTTGGACGAGCCCCTAGCCCGGCCAGCCAATAAATCTTTCCTTAACCCTCCACAGGAAATTCCCCTGCTTGCAGACGGCGCATGCACACACACACACACACACACACACACACACACACACACACACACACACACACACACACACACACACACATCAATATATATGTTTGTATTGTGTGAGTGTGCAAGGAAGAATTAGTGCTAATTCCAGGTTGCTATCATTCAATGTGTGTGTGTGTGTGTGTGTGTGTGTGTGTGTGTGTGTGTGTGTGTGTGTGTGTGTGTGTGTGTGTGTGTGTGTGTGCATGCAGAACTAGAACATCCTGTCACTATCTATTTCTAAGCGGCCTCACTCTGAGATCATATGCCCCTCAACTCCAACAAAGAGGACAACACACACACACACACACACACACACACACACACACACACACACACACACACACACACACACACACACACACACACACACACACACACACACACACATAGAGACATAGTAATTGTGCCTGCGTGGCGCAGGTTAGGCTCTTAATGTGTGGCTGTGTTTGTCTGTGGCTTGTTCTTGTGCTTATGGCTTCGCTGCTCTCAGCAATCAGCCGAAATACATGACATCATCTTCCTGCAATGCCCTCAACCCCTCCCCCCTCCTCCTCCTCCTCCCCCCC